GGCCATTGGACACCCTGAGCTGCAGCAGCGAGATTGTGACTAAGTTCTACGCGACTAGCGCTCCGACGACAGTTCCGTCACGGTATTGCGTGTAGACCGCGTATGAACCTTTTTAACGTTTCGCCGTCCTTTCAAGAATCAGTATTGTGATCGCGGAAAGGCTCCGGCAATTATATTTTCGAATCCGTCTCGTCAGGGTAGATGATTGAACCAAAAACGCTGCAGTAACGTCAATTGAAATTACCGCTTGAGGAATTGTCTCAACGGCATGACTTTTGTAGAGGCGTAGGAATACTTGTATTGTAAATCCTCCTGAGGATCTAATTGGTTGTTTGAGGGCACTACATTCGATAGTTAGTGGGGACACAGGTCCTGCCCTACCGTGAAATTTGCTGAACATTCATTCTCTGCTGAGTTACTATCGTGGTCGGTCGTCGAGTAGTTTCGCTAATTATCGGTAAGAATCTTGTAACGAATCACGGAAGCTTTTCCAATCGGCTAATATCTTAGCTTTTCTCGCGTATCATTCCTTTTCCCAAGGCATCGGCCTAGGGTTGAATATCGTACCACTAGCCTGGAAAAGATTCCGTGTATCGAATTTATTTCTGAATCATTTAATATTTCTGGCTTATTGTAATTTTCCATAGCGCAAAGTCTCGTAACCCTGGATACCTAACAGAGAGAATCCGCGTGTTCTCACTTCTCGGGAACTCGTGTATCGTTGCGTGTATTGTAACGTGTTCGTCTCGCTTCTCGAGAGTTCACGTATCGTTTTGCATTTTGTATTTCGTATCTGGTATGTTGCATTCTATATTTTGTATTTCGTCAATGGAATCTTGTTAAGATTATTATTTCACTTGTTTCGGAATTTCATAATTGTTAACTATTGCATTCTAAGTTTGTCCTGAATAAAGGGGCAGTTGTTATTGTTTTCTATATCGGGTTCTCACTCTTCTTCCTGGCTACCTCACCAACACCTTGGCGTTCCCTGCCCCTCTGCCATTTCCTCATCTGAGTTAGTTCGGTTGTCTTCCTCTGTTCTTTCGGGGAATTTGTATAGTCCCTTTACGTGACGCAACGCCCAACGTCTGGCGCCCAGTCGGTACATTTCAGTATCGCGTCCCGGGGGGAATAGAGCATTAAATTTGTGGCGTAAAACGCGTCGGGATAGCTGCGTCTCGGCGAGTAGACTTTGGGGTTAGATTCCGCTTTAGTCTCAGTTTTATATCACTGGCGAATAAGTTAAAGTATAAAATTTGCGTCACAAATAAAATGGCGCCCAACGTGGGGCCCAGCCAAAGAAAGCAGTTCAGAATTTCAGGCCCAGCCAATAGGAAATTAAAAAAATTTCGTAACCTTTATAGCTGTTCCCAGATTTCGGCTCCGCCGTTAAAGAATTAGATTTTCTGCCGCGCCAGCTAAGAGTATCGTAACGCGAAAAATAGGAGTTGAGAACCAGTATCGAATTCAAGGTTCAGGTTGCTATCGTCGGTCAAAGCTATAGAGTCTGTTTATATTCGCGTACCCTTCAAAAGAGAACACTGCTGTTAGGATAGCTAGAAGACGGAAGATATTTCCAAACAGAACTATCGTGTAGGAATATTCGTGTGAACTTAGGAATTCGATTTCGTGTATCGCCAAAATAAAAATTACGGGACTAGTATCACTACGGGAAATATATATCGGGATTATACTCAGTAACCATTACGACCAGAAAAATAGCCTAAGCTGTAGTAATTGCCTACGCAACGAGTTCGAATTTAGTGTCGTTACATACCGAGAGAAAATGTCCAATCCACAAAGAATTTCAGCCGATCGTGGTCAGAGTAGTACCACTAGTTCCGATCTGTTGGATAAGCCCGAATTAAACAATACAATAATCGCTCCGGAAGAACAGCGATCTCAACGAAGTTCGAGACACCGATATTCTAATCCCTCGCAATCTACAGTAGCTAACGCGTACAATATCGTAAGAAAATGGAATTTGAAGTTCTCAGGAGTAAAAGGGGAAGACTTTGAAGAAATCATAACGCGAATTGAAGAAAATCGTAAAATGATTCCAGTATCGGACACCAGCCTCTTGAAATGCCGAGTAGACTTTGGGGTTAGATTCCGCTTTAGTCTCAGTTTTATATCACTGGCGAATAAGTTAAAGTATAAAATTTGCGTCACAAATAAAATGGCGCCCAACGTGGGGCCCAGCCAAAGAAAGCAGTTCAGAATTTCAGGCCCAGCCAATAGGAAATTAAAAAAATTTCGTAACCTTTATAGCTGTTCCCAGATTTCGGCTCCGCCGTTAAAGAATTAGATTTTCTGCCGCGCCAGCTAAGAGTATCGTAACGCGAAAAATAGGAGTTGAGAACCAGTATCGAATTCAAGGTTCAGGTTGCTATCGTCGGTCAAAGCTATAGAGTCTGTTTATATTCGCGTACCCTTCAAAAGAGAACACTGCTGTTAGGATAGCTAGAAGACGGAAGATATTTCCAAACAGAACTATCGTGTAGGAATATTCGTGTGAACTTAGGAATTCGATTTCGTGTATCGCCAAAATAAAAATTACGGGACTAGTATCA